ATTTATTCCATATAGATCAATTCTTTGATGATCTAAACCATTCATTAATTCCAAGATTCAACCACCACATATTACTTTATACATAAATTTCTCCAAAACATATTTTGTTGATCAAACCATATTGTTCCATAGTAAACCACAGGTCAAAATACGCAAGATCTTTTGATCAAACACCAAACCATTGTAGATAAACGATATCATGGATCGAGAGCTGGTGCTGAAACACGCTGTCTAAAAGGGCTAAGGTGATATACCGGCAGTTGCGATCTCAGTAGGATCAAGGTGACTATAGGAAAATAATGCCAGGAGGGACTAAGGGTTAGTCTGATCTAAACTATACTGTAAGTTATTTCGTTTACAGTGAATTATTGATTGACAAAGTGTCCAGAGTTTTTGAGATCATTTGTGAAAGATTTTCTCCATTATCAATTTGGTGTTCTTTACTGATTTTGTATTACGAATTGTGGTAATTTAATATAGGATAAATTGACGCAATTGATTAATAATTTAGAAACAATTAAAAAATAACTTGCAACTTTTAATTCCGTTGTGCACGTTTTAGGGTCTAAACATTGTCTAAATCGATTAAGAATATCGATTATGTTACTTTTTAGAAAGAATAGAAAATCTCATCCAACACAAACCCATGAACACCAAATATACAAGGTTTAAGAATCTAAATTCTAGGAAAACTTAGTTGGATATTCGAGCGTTTAATTTTTAAAGTTTGTAGTTACTATAATTTTCATATTGAAAGAGTAACAAACAAATATCATACATGAAAAGAGGATCGGGGAATCCAAATTTCTCACTGGGCCGAGGTGTAGGCATTAAAATTGGGAACAATACATAGTTCCTATTTTTAAAGTTCACATTTCATAAATAACAAACTTCGTAAAATATTTCAAAAATCAGGTGCTAAATAAGGGTTTAAACGAAAATTTAGTTAAAAAAGGAACAAAAATTGTAAAGAATTCGAAATAAATAAATGACAAAAATATCACTTAAACTTAAAAAACAAGTTATGAGTTCTAAATGAACTCATATGGCTGAAATTCACTAAACATCACGTCAAAGCTATTGACTTCAGAAAATATTTCTCAAACTCTAATAGAAACTCAAACAGGGTCTCTAGAGATTCAAAAAAAAGAGTCATCTTTTAAGCACAGTGAGCAATCTAGTGAACTTCAAAGAAGCAAAAGAACATGTAAAGTAAAATGTTTAGGATTTAGATGAAATTGATTTTCAACTAATTTCTCTTTGTTAGGATGAAGGAAATATGATGTACGTTGTAAGAACAATTTATCTTATTCTTAAAGTAGAAAATAATCTTAAAACTTATAAGGACGGATTCATTCATAATACTCATTATAAATATTTATTTTCTTAAGTATATAATGAATATATTGCGTTTGTATGCCTTTATGTTGATTGTCGACCTAAAACCAAAAATTATTTTTTTAAAGCCAAAGGTAATTTTTCCCTGCAAATTTTGTCAGGTCTTTTACTCTTTTTGGGAGCCAATTTTGTATTGAAGAAAAAGAGAGTGTAATTTTGACGTTCTATTGGTCGAAAAATGTTTTTCAATTAGAGATAATGTGTCAAATTTTGAGAGGTTTGACCTAGGATGCTGTTTCAATCTGAGGTGGCTTTTTAGATGAGACATTCTTTCAATCTTTAGGATTTTTAGTGAAAGTTGGATATTTTTAACCCTTTTTTATTTTTCAATGGGCTTATTTATAGGTGATTTCAAGACATTTTGTCCTTTTTATGAGTTGACAATTTTCATCATTATGTTGAAAATCATGATAAGTCCATTTTTAATGTTTTTTAAGATTTGTGCTTTATGACACTTGTCCAGCAATTTTTTGTGTATACTAACATGTTTAGTGCACTCTAACCGAATTTGCACTAAGATTCCCTTCGATGTTCAAGGCCAAATCGAGGTCTTTAGTCGTGTTGATGACAGGGGCCTCCAACCTCGTTTCTTGTCAAGTGTTGGGATTCTGCATATTCTATTGCTTAAGGAAGGATTGATGGATGATGCATTTATCAATCAACTGTACCTCGACGACCGACGTATAATTATTCAAAACATGTGGCCGTGTAATGGGGCCCTTTTATGATTGACCTAGAATTCAGGTGGATTGTAATCATTTTAGTAACATTAGTCTTCCATGTCCGAGTTTCATATTTATGTGGAATGAAGGGTTTTGATGTTTCTTTGCTCCTGTGCTGAAATCTTTGAATTACAGAGTTTTAATCATTGCACAACTTCTCTTGCTTTTTCGAAGTATTATATTGAGAGAAGTAGCAGCATAATAGATGGGCTTCTGCCGATACAAATGAAATTGTGTCGAAGGGAATCAAAAGTTTGTAGATTTTTGACTCCATAGAGCTTGTATAATTGGCTTCTCTCATTGCTTCTCTATTATTCCATTACATTTGCATCGAGGGAAACCCGAAGCTGATAATTGATATTCCAATTTCATATGTGTTTCGAGACATTTAGGCAGGAGAGAGCCTGAAGCTTGATAGTTGTAGATTTTTCAATAGAACATATTCTTTCTATTCCTGATATATCTAACTTCAAATGTTTTTTCAATTAAAATCTTTTTCAGCAAGGATGCTCTTTCAATCTTGTCGATGCTCTTGATAGGAGATACTATTTTAATCTCGAAGAGATTGGTCTGTGCAGAAGGAAGTAAGTCCACTATGGGTTCTTAGTTTAGCTCCTTGACGATTGTGTATTGTTGTGTGCATGCATGTGTTTAGTGCGTTGAAATCCATGTTGATTTGTCAAAATTCTCTTTAAAGCTTTTGTGTAACTATAGTCTGAGTCGAGGTCTCTAGTCTTGTGGTCGGCGCCTTCAACCATGTTTCTAGCCAAGTGTTTTGATTTTTGCTAGGATTATGTTTCAATTTGGATTGGATTTTACATGCTTCAATTTATAAAAAAAAAATTATTTTCATTTTTTAAAGAAAAAGAGCGTCTCTCTCAATATAAACCAAAAATGCCATTTACCTTCTTCCTTTTGGCCCATGTATGTTCAATTAACAACGTAAGTGCGCAACATCGAATTTTGATTCGATATGTGGCACTTTCCGTCTAATTAGAGTCATGAAATTCACTCCGATGATGGATGGATAAATGTGTGAATAGATAAATGAGCAATGCATAACCCCCTCCCCCTCTTTCTTTTTTTTCGCTATTGGATGAGCAGGATAAATTTATCTCTTATTTGATTCCCATTATTTTCAAAACACATTTTCTTTATCTTCTTTTCAATTACACACACATGTTTCAATAAAATAATATTATATGTAAATCCAAAAATTTTCTTCATTCTTTAACCTCACATTCTCTATCAATCTACTATTTCAAAATGTATTCAGTATTCTCAGCAAAAAATGGGGTTGAAATAAGTGCTCAGTAAACAACAATTTAAATAAAAGAAGCGTTTCTGGACCATGTATCTTTAATTAATGATATTAGTGTGTCACATCTGATGAGGCACTTTTTTGCACGTCCAATAGGAGTGACAAAATTAACTCATGAGATGGATGAGTGATATGTGAATAGATGAATGAGCAATGAGTAACTATTTTTGTTGGGTGAGTAAATAGTGATCTAAGGTAAAATTCGGTGAGCAATAATTTAATTAACTTATAAAACCCAAAAAAAGAGGAAACTTTATATATGAACTCCCCATAACTTTTCAAAAACTACAAATAAATCCCACTCAAAATAATTATTAACAATTTTATTTTTTTCAAAATTTATCTTTCACAACCCAACTCATACACCCTCCTAAATCTAACCCCTAGTAGGATTGCCAAGGGACATGAGATATATTGTCCATGGATAAAGTGACAAAATGTACCGGTGGGGTTTAAAATATCGGTAATACATTTCAATCACACCAATGGACAAGATATTTCCCTTCCAGTCTCGCAAATTCCAAATACATGCTTAAAACTAGAATCATGTTACATGTACAATAATAATTGACAATATCCTACTTGACATCATTATATCCATCCATTTTAAAAAATATGATTATTAACCAATGTTGTACACTTATATTTATTCTTAAAATTAATTACTTATTTTTAAATTCACCGCCCTTCACGCCGAGTCGAGAGTCTCGAGACGCACCATTTTTCTGAAGAATTCAAGCATAAAAAATATGGGTTCTGCTCCAATTCAACCTCTCTTCTGTTTAAAATGGCCATGGGATATCCGTAATCAACCCAAAAGCCCTAACACCTGCAGTTCAGAGTCCCCATGGCTATTCAATTCATTCAAGAATCTTGGCATCATAACCCTCAATTTCATCAACAGCAAAATATCCCAACAAAACCCATTTCAATTAAGTGGAGGAATCAACAATAAGAGAAAGATTTTGAACCCTGAAGAACAGGGAGAGGCAGAGCAAAGAGCATTGGCTTCTGCACTGGCAAGTGGGAAGGAGGCTACTGTAATTGAATTTTATTCACCCAANTGAAGAATCTTGAATTGAGATAAATGTTTAGCTAAGCTTAAAGCTACTTATAAGTAAGTAAGTTTTAAACTAAATGATATTTTTTTTGGTCACAGTCGGATATAAGTAACTTACCCAAACATATTAGGAACAAAATATTACTTACTAAAACTAAATTTAACTTAGGATTAAGCTTAGCCTAACATGCCAAGTTTTGTTTGAATTCGAAGTTCTATGTTTGTTGTTACATGTGCATGTATATTATTCATGTAATTGTTAATTAATAGGACTAGCATTTTGTTACCTGCAATTAAGAAAATAAGAATTGCTGTAGAGATCGAAGTGGTGGTATAATTTGATAAGCTTTTCTTGACAATCTCATTTAAAAGCTTAATCTTGATATGATTTTAACACTGCGACCCAGACTTCCTTCTCTTCCCCGAAAGGTTTCAAAACTAAATTTTTTATAAATGAGTTGTGGAACCATATTAATGACTGTCTCGTCTAACAGGTAAATTAGTTAGAGAGGTGAAGAATTTTTTGTTACATAAGTATTTTCAAGGATAACATGCTGGGGAACATTATAACTTCAGACATCGTAAAGGAAATAAATGTATAATAGGCACTGTGACATTTTCTTCTTTTACATAAACTGTTGAGCTCTCCCTGAAAATGAGGTGATCTAGATGCACCTTCCAGTAAGGCTACTCTGTTGTGACTTCACTCCAGTCACTAGTTCATGACGGACCATGTCGGAGAACAATAACAAAAAGCCTCTCACCTTCAATCATTAAAAAAAAAAATGAATAGACAATTTCACAGAGAAATTTGGGATAAATTGGGAAAAAGAATAGTTTTTAAATATATATTATTCTGTCCAAAAAAAGAGCTTCAGCTGAATTATTTTTTAACAGATTAAGAGGGGATTGCATAGCATTTGATTCTGACTGATAATCAATGCATGATGTTGGGTATGAACCAGATTTTATACCAAGGTCTTGATCGGAACTTAAACTTAACAGCTTGAGTTTGCATAGAAGGGATTGCATAACATTTGATTCTGACTGATAATCCGCACATGATGTTCAGATTTTTTACCGAGGTCTTATTGGAACTCAAGCTAAACGGTTTCAATCTTGATATTCATATTTTGCCTATATTCACAATTGATGTAAAATTTTATCTGAACATATGTTTGGCAAAGTTTTTAAGTGTTTATAAACTGGTCAAACTTCATTTTTAACCCCACATCTTTTAAGACCGACAACTTTTATCTACTTTTTAACTTCCCACTTAAAAGCTTAAGCCAAGCAAGCATAAAGTTACATGGCATCAAATTGTTCAATGTTAATGATGAATTCTAGGAGAGTTACCTGCATTTTTTTTCTTGAAATGTTTGCATATACGCCCACACTCAGACAGTTAACCGAATTAAACTGATCTGATATATTTAGTTCTGACAAAGTAAGGTACATTACAAAGTAACCTTCTTTAAATCATTGATGGAGTTATCTAACATCTTGAAACTGATGCAGGATAGGAAGAGAATATTAAGAAATAAACCTCATTTAAAAAATAATCCGAGTTTGTTTTTCGTGTTCAAGAACTTCCTAGTCCCTGTTTGATAAAAATCAAAATTTAGTAGATTTTATTAAAAATTGGTAAAATGTATTGTTGAAAAATTGATAAAAGTTTTGGATCTCATGAAATTTTTGGTTAGAAATGAGTTTAGGGAAAAATGAGTTTTAAGTGATGGGGGCCAAGCAAGGGGTTAGTAATATTGTCATAATTTATGTTGGTGAGGATCTTAACTTTTCCACCACCAGGCTTTGATTTCTAGAGATAATTGTGACATGATTAAGGAAATATCAGCAGATAATTGTCATAATCTATATTTTACTGCTAAACATTAATGAAAAAAACAAGCTAAGTATTTATTATACAGTTATAGTGTCCAGTTCCATCAAGCGTGCAATATATGTATATACTAGGATAAAGAGTTTTAGAGGCTCATCTAATATTTCAGAACTGGAGGGTTAATTTGACTCTAGACTTGATTAGATTTTTTTTGACGAAAAATAAAGATTAGGTTCCAAGATAATGCTCCTACATCAGACAGATGTAAGGGGTAGTAGGGTTGATGCAGATACTGTCATTTTACTGTAATTTTTATTTGACAGTCCATCAACTAGAAACTTCTGTTGTATTAGTATATCTCCAACCTAGATTTTACTTCTTGTTTATCTTTCTACTTTGTGTTCTTGCTTTTGAATTATTTGACATATCCTATGCTCAAGAAACTGTGCATTATTTCGGTTTCTAAGTTAGTAGTGAGCAGTATTCTGTCTTGGGAACAAAGATTTGGTTATCTAAGCTCAACACATTATACTATCGATGTTAAGTTAGCTGAAACTTTGTTGATTTATCTTCCATTTATTTGATAGCTGTGTTTCTCGATTTCATATTGATCTCCTTCCTTTCTGCTGATTGAGTTTAACTGTTTAAGTTTGTAGATTTATGGCAGTGGCTGATTTATGCTTTGTTTCTTCACGTAGCTCCTTCATTATGACATTAAGTATGTCCCTTGCTTTGTCCTCCTGGATAAGTATGGGAACGCGCTTGCAAAAACAGGCGTCCCAAACAGTCGGCTGCATGTTGTAGCAGGTATTTCTCATCTTCTCAAAATGAAACGCCCTAAAAAAGGTAAGAAACGGGATTAATTTTCATCAGACGAATGAAAGAGAAGAATGCATTCAAACTGAAGTGGATATGCCTTTGAACTTTGTAAATCTTTAAATCAAGTCACACCCCATCACTCCATTCCCCATTTTGGTGTTTGGGTTGTCTAAAAAAATACACTTGTTCTGGGAGATTTTTTCTGACCTTTCTGTCTCAATAGACTCTACTAGATTGCGAAACGGTGCCTATTACTTGTTAGGACTTGAATTATGTTGGCACACAGAAGAAATATTTACTGCTGTTTTGTTATGTATTAAGTGGCATTTACAACTTTAGAATTTTAATGCTAAATGTTATGAGTTTCGAACTTATGCTATTCCATGCCTTCATCATGTCGGAGTTGAAAAACCAGTAGCTGGATTGTTTTCGATGTATACGCTTATATTTGACTCGTAACTAAGCCTCTGTTTGATGACCATTAATTTGAGAAAATGTAATTTTGAATAGTAATTTTTTGGAAAATGTATGGTTAAAAGGTAAGGAAAAATTTTGAATTTACATGTAAAATATTTTATTGTATAAATGTGTGATTGAAAATGAGTATGAGAATTAAAGAATTTTAAAATAATGATGGTCAAACATGGGCTTAGAATGTTAAAACAGTTTTGGTTGCATCAACTTGTCAAAGCTTGTAGAACAGAGGTAAAAAGCAAGCCAAATCTTGGCTGTCCCTGTGCCCAGGATAATAAAATTTTTGGCTAGGATAATACATGATGGATAGAGGACTAGATAGTTTGTCAGATGGCCTTAGCAGAGCTTTTTATGACCTTCAGTGTCACAAAATTGTGGTAGTCATGGGGAATTGCCAAGTGATTTGGGTGAAAGAAATTCTTTGCAAATAGTCATGGGATTGTTTCCTGAGGATTGGTAAATGCAGAAGCCGTCATAAGAGGAATTTGCCCGTCTTGGCAGAGTCATATTTAAGCCCTCTTATTTGTCACGTCAAAGTCTCTTGGCTACGGAATTATTACATTACGAAATCTACATTTAGCCCCTGATTGATGGGAACTTAAATCAAAATTTTATTAAATTTTAACAAAGAATAAGAGTATTTGTACGCTCAAATGTGTAAATTTTGGTTGACACTTCTTATGTGTCAAAAATCTAATCATTGATTGAAAAAAATGTTTTTAAAATTAATGTACTCAAATCTGTCAACACACAGTGTAAACTAAAGTATACATATAGCTTAACTCTTTAATAAAATTAAGAAAATACATGGTTGAAAAGTTGTGAGTTTCATGAAATATGTAGTTAAAATTAATTGTTGACTTTAATTTAGATCAAAATTTAAATTTTAATTCCTACAAACAGGAGTCTAATCATGTCATGGACACCATACCACTACAAATAGTTGAATCGAGTAGGTCTACAAGAGTTTAACCATCTAATTGACAAACGAAACAAGAGTGAATCGAAGTGTCATAGTAGATGGTAGGCCAGTCACATAAGCCATCTAGGGTTCAATTGACCAATGCTATTCCTAGATTAAGTCAACATGGATGAAATCCAACCGTGCGTATCTCATGAAACAACTTCAACCTAGTAGACTTTGCCAAGGTGACCATGCTTGTACAGATTAGAGCTGGTTCTTAACGGCAAATCAACGTAGAATATAGCAAGAAATAGGACATCAAAAAGGGGCACAATTACTTGGTTAGGTCGACAGACCTCCAGCCAATAGGAGGGGCGCCACATGGCCCCCCGAATGGCCAGGGTAGTGGTGTCAAGATGCGGCC